GAAAGTAATGGCGCTCTAAAAAATAATACGAAAAAGGCACGCCCATCACCTTCCAAGGCAGCACCAATTCAAATTGATTCAAGTGCTCTGACCGTACCAAAGGATAAACTCGATGCTGCGTTTAAATCTTCGACTTCACCGGCAGAAAAATTTGAAGATGATGCATGGCTCTCCTCTGATAAAACTCCTGTGCTATTGCCCAAACCCATTGCTAAACCTGTATCTACATCACCGCCACCACCACCGCCACCCCCTAACCCCGCGGTCCTTCAAAACTCACAAATCATAAACTCTAACCCGCCAGTTCTACCACAACCTCGTCAACGTTCAGTGTCACCCTTATTATCCCAACAACCACAACAACCAGTGACAAATACAAGTATATCCGATTTTAATTCCAACTCCTGGAATTCGAACCCTAATCTTCCTCCCGCTCAAAATTTTCAGTCTTCGCAAATGACTTTAATGACTTTTCAATCTTCACAAATGGCTTTACAACCACCTATTAATACACAAACTCCATCATTACCACCGGCTCCGTTGGCAGCTGCTGTTGTTCCACTTAATACAATTCTTCATCAACCACTTATTCCGATGAAGAATGAAATTCCGTCACAATTTAGCACACTACCAATCACCAACATCAACAACCTGAGAAATAACAATCAAGGTTTAATGGGCAATTTACCTGTTAATAATTATTCTCCGGGTAACACTTGGAATAATTCTGGTACTATTGTGTGTTTATATTATCCTCTTTAGGTAATTCACGAGCTACAATTGGTGATACTAATAATTAGTTCTTTTTCTTAAAATCAGGGATTGTACCTACGCCATTACCGGTCGAGACACATTCAGGGTACAGCACACTTGGTGTAACTAATCAATTCAACGCAAATTTTAACACTGAAAACCAAATCCAACCAACATTGCTTAATACTCCACAACTACCACCAACTACTACTCAGTCATCAGCATGTGACCCTAAAGTTGTTTTTGCCGCGATGAAAACTGGACAAATTGGTCCAAACATCATTCCGAATGGTAATTTTATTTAAAGGACATGTGCGTTTCTATTATCGAAAAAAATCTCGTTATTATATATTCACATTTATTGTTTCGTTAATAGCTACAGATGACAAGTATTCGGCATTTAAACAGGTGGATCTCCAAGGTCCAAGTGTTTTCAATGGACCAACACCCAATCAACTGAGTACGAGTACGTGTTCAAATAATATCAATTACAACACTAACTTAATTTTCTAACTTTTGAGATTATTCTTTGTCCAGATGGATACAATCTTGGTCAAAATCCTGGTGTATTAAATACACCATCGTGGAATCAAACCGCCACAGGTGGTTTTTCTGGTATGGGTGTTCCCCAACAAAACCCTAGTTACCCCCCCCTTGCAAATCCCAATGTCAATTTTGGTTTAAACGGTCAACAACCTCCCAATCAGCAAGGATTTAATAATACTCCAGGTTATAACAATCTAAATCAAAACCATAAGGTGAGCCTCTTCCATTAAAACCATCTTATTTATACGATTCGAAAAATTCTTATTCTTTTTTTTCCCAATAGTGGTAAATTCTAATAATTTATTTATCTACCGGCTAATTATCATTACTTCATCAATGATAAGTACTATTTCAACAAGATCATTATTAAAATATTTATAATAGATGATTCATTATTTATGTATTGTTATTTAGAAATACTTGTATAACACTTTTTAAATTTTAGTGCATTTTTTTTTTTTATAAAATCACATCATTATTTTTTTAAAATGTGTCTCCTTAACAATAAATATTCCCAATTTCAGAAATAAAATCACGACGGTTTGACAAAGCCTCGTATCATTAAATTAGAGAAAACATGTTTCACCTGTGTCTTCTTTTTATTTCCGAGTCATCGTGTTTTTTTTTAGATTTGCGCGAACCTAGAAATAGGAAAAATAAACTTGAATTATTATTATCAGTGGAAGTACAATGGCCCTTCAATGCATTATATTTATAGATAACACTTTGGGGAAGTGAGATATCGATAAAAGGTTTTACGTTCTTCTCCACGATCGTAATCTCGATCATGGTCCCGGTCATGATAATCATATGATTCGTTTCTATCATATCGCGATGCATGCGAAGAGCTTCCAACGCGTGAGCCTCTTTCATTACGCGGCGAATGCTGCACCTGAGAACTAACTGTTCTCCTATTCCCATTGTCATCAAAACGAATATGCACTGGACTAGATGCTATTTTGAAATGAAATAAATATAAATGAACTATATGTTATTAAAGGGCACTAAAAATTTTTTAAATCAATAATGATTTGATTTATATACTTTGATTATCCTCCCTTGAAGAACGTTCTTTTGTGATTGGCAGATTGTGCTTAATGAAACGTGCAGCTGCTTCTCGGTCAATCGCTAGCGTGGGCTGTGGAGGATTCAGTGTATGTGTAATTTTATCCGAAATTTCTTGTATTCGGTTCTTTATTGTTAAAATTTCCGACAAAATTACAATTAAGTTTTTCCATAAGAATCAACACGAAGCAATATCTTTGTTCTAAAATGCGAACCGCCTGAAAATCGACTTCTTTTGGTTCTGATTCACCATTAACCTCTAAATATACTATAGATTAATAGTATCAATGAACAATAATCGCCTTAGTAGTCCTTTAAATAATAACTTATGCGACTAACTTACGGGAAGAAAGCGAATTACAACAGTACGCATATAACGTGTATAGTCTTGCACGTTCTATTGGCCCAAGTCCCGCAGCTACCTCGCTCAATGGCTGAGAAAGCAACGCTTCGAGAGCCGCTTCTACTTTACTAAACTCGTGACTGCTTAGATCTGTAGCTGAGGATTGAACCTGTGAAAAGACAGAGGCTATCTGATTTTCATTTGCCGAGCTATTACTACTCATAGCTTCTATTTAAAAAAATTTGATTCTCGCTGATAATAGTAAAGTAATTTGTGATCTGATCAAAAATTAAACTTATACTAGTATCACAGATTGTTACCTTCACGACTTCTTGGAATTATTGGAGATACATAAATAATTGAAGCTTGAAAAAAAATTTTTTTTTAATATTTACAAGAGATATTATAGTTATTATTTTTTTTTTTTTTTTTTTTTTTGCCTCTAATCAGACTGCAAGAGTTGCGTTTATTCATCCAATTTTGGAAAACAGT